TGTTTACGGGTTTAAACCCCTCTGGGAATTCATGTTCCATTACTTCGTCAGTGAAGCATAGGGGTTGTGCGGCGTCTCTATGTCGGGCTACATCGCGGTGCAGTTCGGATGAATCTGGTCTGCTGTATTCGGCCCGGACCGATTTGTGTTTGGTATATCCGGCGTGGCGGTCATCGTCATGCGTTGAGGCGCGCCCCCGCGATCCGTAGATCGATCTTGATTGTCCTGCTTTGTTTTCCAATTTGTCTCGCAGGTCATGCGTGTAGCCCCGGGCCTTCATTTTTTTATTTGTTCGGTGACGGGGTGCGGGCTCGTGTTCGGGCTGATACGCCGCTTTGTCTCGGCCACGAGGTGGTCGGTCAGCCGCATCTTGTACTGGTAGTATCGGCTCTAGTGCCTCGTCCTCGAATTGAGGTAACAACATGCGCCTCGGGTAACTTTTGGTTGGGCACTCGAGTCCGTATTCCTCAGCCGCCAGGACCTCAGCCCATCTGTCAGTGAGCAGATCTTGATCAGCTTGAAGCTCTGTTTTTTCTTCAGGCTCTTTCCAGTGGCTATAAGCTGGCGCTTGAAGCGCTCCTGCTCGACGGGATCCTCAGGCACGGTAAATTCTTCGTCGCCGAGGCTCACCTCGTCTTTGGAGAGGGGCATGTAATTGTCATCCTCCGAGTCTTCGTCCATTGCCTGTTCGTCAGGGCTAGCTTGCCCGTCCTCCCGTCCGGCCTGCTAGAAGCTTGGCTGGGTGGGATTGTTTTCATCTTCGGCATCATCCGGAGTGCTATTGTCTCTGGGCCGGTATCACTGCTTTTGCTATGGCGGGGTTTAGAACGGCGTCGCTGACGTCGGCGCTTAGGTTGCTTCTCAAGAGGATCACCCTCCGTTGCATCCTTTTGATCCTCGCCATTGTTTTCTTTGGGTGTATCCACCATATATATGTCATATGATGAGGTGGTCGTCCAGCGCCCTGTGGGCGGTGGTACCCGCTCTTCTCCGGCATCGTCGTCCATATCGTCGATGTCTTCGGAGTCGAAATCAAGCATGTCGGTTAAGTCGTCGACGGTGGCTATTAAGTGGGTGGTGGGCGGGTAACGAATTCCTTTGTCGTCTGCTTCCCACTCATTCCGGACATAGTTCGACTAAGAGTCTCCTGACAGGGAGAGAGATTTTAATGAGTTTAGCACATCACCCAAGGGCGAGTACTGAAAGATATCCGCGGAGCTAAACTCCATGATGGGTGCCCTGTTAGATCCGATGGGCACAGATGCACGCGGTTCGGAGCCTATGGCTGGAGACGAGTCCGAGGGTCTGATGACACAGGCCTCATTGAAGGTGAAATCTATGTTCGGCTCTCTCACCGTTGAGTGTGCGGCTTCCGTGGCAGGGTCCATCCTCCCGCCCTGAGATGGCACGATCTGCACTGGATTTAAAGCCAGGGCAGCTGCAGGTGTGATCTCCAGAACACCGTCCGATGGCAGATCTAGGTCATGCTCGTCGCGACCGTAGGGTGCACCTGTCATGGGCACGAATCCGTCGAAGATCAAGTCTCCACGAATGTCGGTAGTGTAATTCAGGCTTCCAAACCTGACCTGATGGCCAGGGATGTAGCTATCGATCTGCTCCAGATGGCCAAGCGAGTTGGCCCGCAGTGCGAAGCCGCCGAATACAAAGATATGTCCAGGGAGGAAAACCTCACCCTGGACCGCATCGTTGTAGATGGTTGAAGGAGCCATCAAGCCTTATGGTGATGACACAGTGGAACTCTCAATGAAAGCACCAATGTCGGTGTCAAAACCGGCGGATCTCGGGTAGGGGGTCCCGAACTGTGCGTCTAAGGCTAATGGTAACAGGAGGCGGGGGACACAATGTCTACCCAGGTTCGGGCCATCTCTATGGAGGTAATACCCTACTTCCTGCTTGATTGATCTTGATGATATGAATGTTACAAGAGTTGATCTACCACGAGATCGTAGAGGCTAAACCCTAGAAGCTAGCCTATGATTCTGATTGTTGTTGTCCTATGGACTAAACCCTCCGGTTTATATAGACACCGGAGGGAGCTAGGGTTACACAGAGTCGGTTACAAAGAAGGGAATCTACATATCCGCATTGCCAAGCTTGCCTTCCACGCAAAGGAGAGTCCCACCCGGACACGGGACGAAGTCTTCAATCTTCTATCTTCAAAGTCCAATAGTCCGGCATAAGTATATAGTTCGGCTGTCTGAGGACCCCCTAATCCAGGACTCCCTCACTTACCTCAAAGTCTTCGTAAAGAGATAACTGACTTGATAGCACATTTATGGTGGGGTTGATGAAGAACACAAAAGAATGCATTGGTACACTTGGTGGAAACTATGTTATCCTAAGAGTGAGGGGGCATGGGATTTTGAGACCTTTATTCCTTCAACCTTGCAATGCTCTTGAAGCAATGTTGGAGATTGATCACTAATCTGGACTCATTATGTACACGGGTGTTGAAAGCAAAATATTTTCCAAATGGAAGTTTAATTCAAGCTACTTTGAAAAATGGTGCGTCATTCACATGTCAGAGCATAATGAAGGGCTGGTGAAATTGTGAATATTTGGAACAACCCTTGGATTCCATCGAGTGCAGACAAGAAAGTTATCACGCGTCATGGACAAACAGTATTGGCCTCTGTAAGCGATCTAGTTAACCTGAACTCCGGGGAATGAGATGGGACCTAATCAAATCCCTCTTCAACCCAGTAGATGTACGAAGAATCTTACAAATCCCATTGAATTATGGCACTTTCGATGATTTTACTGTATGGAATCCGGACCCAAGAGGCTACTTTTTAGTTAAATCAACTTATAGAGTGCAATGGACTCAATCTTTTTGGGCCCATGCAAGCATAATGATGTACCCTGGGGGCTCAAATACACCGGCAGTATGGAGTACAATGTGGAAACTTAAAGTTCCATGTAAAGTTTAGATATTTTGTTGGCGAGTTCTTCATGGAATCATCCCATTAAAATTGATTCCGACTAACAGACACATTGGTACTAATGCGGCATGTCCGGTTTGCCATCAAGATACTGAGGACATTAGACACCTACTGTTTGATTGAGCTCATGCAAGGGAGCTTTGGAGGAACTTGGGCATAGTAGGATTGGTGAAGAGGCCAAACAAATTGATCGGTCTAGTTCTGTGATTATGGAGCATCTTATATTAGTGAATGCAAAGACATTGCCACTCAAACCAAGTTTGAACATCAAGCAAGTAATTGTTGTTGGTTGTTGGTACTTATGGTGGATTAGGCGCCAGTTCACACATAACTAGTGGTTGGGGCACCACCCTGTGGCGCCGCTTGAGAGAAAATTGTGCGTACGTTTCCATTTAAAAAATACATGGATTCTTCGTCTTCATTTAAATAAACATCTCACAGAAGTTATCACCTCCATCTAAAAAAAGAAGTAAAAAGTAAAACAATTTACCATCGCAGCCTACTGGCGAGCGCCACTATGCATAGCCCTTCATTTAATAAAAGACGTGAGGTTCTCACCTCGATATAAAAAGAAAAAAAACATTTGAACAAATGTCCCTCCAGTTAAAAAATTTATTTCAAAAGTATTTTCACCACGGCCAACCAGCTTACGCCATGTGGCATAGCTGGTTGGCCGCGCTTCACGCGGCGCTTATAATAGGTTTAATAATGGTAACCCTCCACCCCCATGCGATGGCATATGTCAATCCTGGCGATTGCAAACAATTTCTTTGAGGAAAACTATAGACCGTGTTCGGACAGGGACATGACCTGGACTAAAGCTACCCTCAGTTTTAAAAGTTAATGTAGATGCGGCATTTTTTCTTAACGAGGGAGCAGGAGCTACAACATTTGTCATCAGGGATGACAAGGGAAACTTTCTTGCTGCTGAGTGCAAGTACATTGATCGTGGGGCAGATGTGTTGACTACTGAAGCTTTGGCAATGCGTGATGGGCTTGTATTTGCAAACTCCCTAGGGTTATATCGAGTAGAGGCGGAATCGGAATGTTATGAATTTATGTGATGGTCAATTTAGATAGTGGGATGCATCAGCGGCAATATTCGTGGAGTCGGTGGATGTTGCGTCTTTAATTGGAAACGTTGTGTTCAACCATTGTTTTGGTTCTAGTAACAAGGGGGCGCTTGTGCTAAACAATTTTAGTTTTTGTAATAAGATTTTTTTTAGCTGGTCAGACGAACCTCTGGGTTGTCTGGTTCCGTACTTGTGGACGATGTAGTTCCTTCTAAGTAATACAGCTAGCTATGATGACCTTCCCTAAAAAAGGGATTCTTTCTTAAAAAACACTTCGATTTTTGAATGAATTGAAATCTCGCATATAGAAAACTTATGATGGAATAAGGTTCTCCTCGCCTAGCCTCCGTTTTGATGGTGCGTCTAGCATCGTCGGTGGAAGTGTGGAGGTGTGTCTTTGATGGATCTGTACTTGGTGGATTTGCTCGGATCTAGTCGTAGTTCATGTACATTTGTGTATCTTCAAGTTGGATTCTTTTGATATATGCTACTCTTCAACGGCAGCAGTTGATGTACTGGCACCATGGTCCTATGGGGCCTTAGCAAAATGACTTCCTGACTCTCTACTACAACAAGTTTTGCCTAGGTAGTCGTCACTAGGTTTTCTATAGATTTGGATGTAATTTTTATTATTTTTGGTCTTCATTGTACTGCATGATTGAAAAGAAATAGGTTGGAAGTTTTTCGGTAAAAAGATATATAATTTATTTTCAAGTACAAATTGCCATATTTGATACTACTACTCCAAAAGTCGAAATTTACTAGACACCAGCTAGTTTGATCTTTGTTCTTAGAGGGAAGATCAAATAACGAAATTGCTCTGCGTACGATGGTTTTCTCGTCCGACTAATACAACGAGAGAGCATATCATCTCTAAATGCTATGTCCCATAAACTGAGTTATCTACAATTGTCTCTAATCGTAGTGTTGGACAGGCATTCTGTCGTATGTATAGCAAGGTTGATCAAATAATTGGGAACATCATCTGTCTGGGATCCGTGCGGTCAAAGGTGGGGCCATAGAGAATCGGGCAGACAAACGGCCCCCGTGGTTGGCCGTGCAGTATGGCCGTGCACCACAGCCGCAGACCATCCAGCGTCACGTGCACCGCCAGCTTCACGCGCTCTCTCCGCCGCCGCTGGCTCTGCATGCGGTCGTACAGCTCGTCGGGCAGCCCCAGCCCCGAGCTGGTGGCGACGATGGGCACCGAGCTGATGACCTCCCCGGGCACGGTGAACTCGGCAAGGTCAGCGTGGGCGAGCGGCACGCCCGCGTACGCCACCACGACGCGGCCCGGCCCCTTGAAGTGCCAGGGCTCGCTGTCTCGGTTGTTGACGCGGAGGGTGATGTTGAAGGTGGGGGGCCGCGACGCGCCGGTGCCCCGTTCGAGCCCCTCGACGGCGGGCAGCTTCACCCAGAACTCCGGCAAGTATTCGGGCCGTTTCATGTCGTGCATTGTGAAGCCGAAGAGCAATAGGCACAGAATCGCCGCGAACGCCACCACGCATGGATGCTCCTCCAGATTGCCGTATTCCTTGTCGATTGTCATGGCGCTTGATGATAAGACGGCCGCTATCGATGAAATAGCTAGCGAATTAACGACGGGTTTCCCCGACTTTGTTTTCCGCAGCCAGTTCTGATCGCATCGCTCGCGTGCGACTGTTGGATATATATCCGCCTCGTGGACTAGATTTCAGAGAGGAAATCGATCCATATATATAGATACTGAACTTACGGCCCTTGTTAGAATCTGAACGATATTAGAATCCAAGACAGTTTAGAATCTGAACTTTGGAGAAGGATAAGGACTCTCCTTATAAGTTCGAACAAGAAAAGGCCCCGTTTTTTCCTTCTCAAATTCCGTGTCCTCTTTCTCCCATGTCTATTTGTTGTTCCAGGGAGTTGTCTTGACTATCTAGAAGCTGGGGCATATGGGTCAAGTCAGCGACGATCTAGAAGCTGGGGCGGCCGCCAAACCCTACCGTCGCAGCGAGGAGTCGTCTTTCGTCACGCTCCTAGTATCTGCACTGATTTCTGTCTTGTTGATGGTAGCATTGTCCACGGTCATGGACCGTCGAAGCCCCCCCGTCGTCTCCGTCCACCTCATGGGCTACGACGGCATGGACCCTGGCGCCGCCGGCCGTGTGGTCTCGCCGGCTTTCAACATCACGCTCCGTCTGAACGACACCTGCGTCGACCGCGCGGACGTGACCGTGATGTACTCCGGCGTCGCGCTCGGCTGGGCGCGGGTGGACCCGCGGGACTGCGTCAAGAGGCGGTGGGCCAAGGACGTGGAGGTGGTGGCCCGGGGAGCCGGGGTTGGGCTGTCGCAGCGCCTCCGCGACCACATGGCGTCGGACTGGCGCTCAGGCGCGGTGGAGCTCGACGTCGACATCACGACGTACAAGGAAGACACACCCTCTACTGACACCGGGTTCCCCCAAGACATGATCGTGCAGAAGGTAAGGATTTTTAACGAGAAAGAAGAACAGGCTACGGCCGACGCCTCCTCGCAGATGTTCTTGTCCGCGTGATTACAGATTTGAGTAGCACTCTCTTTTATAAAGAAATATAAGAGCGTTTAGATCACTCTTGCTGATGCAAGAAAGTTTGTGACTGATGTATATCTATGCAAAAGTTTGTACAAATTGAACTCTTTCCTACGTGTAATGGTACAATTTCGTTTATTTTACTTTTTTTCTGAGCGGGGTTTTGTTTATTTACCGATCCGCATTTTGTTGTTGAATTTTACTATTTCAGTGTTGCATTTTACATTTACCGAGCCTACTCCCCTATCTTGCACGCCTCTTGCACGATAATGGATGGTGGGCAAGCCCAAATATGTCTTGCGGTTAAAAAGAAGAAGAAAAAAGTCCATTTCAAACCTTGATCTTGTAGAGGTTTGGTGAATCGAACTCCAACCTCCAAATCCCTGTCGTTCGTACCCTGAACTGACTAATCCCGGTCTAAATCAAACCTGGCAGTGGTTTTAGGCTAGAAAATGCTGACGTGGCAAGGATTAAGCGGGATTGCTTTTATGACTAGTGGGCCAAGCACAGTGTGGTGGCTTTAAGTGTGCGTGTGGTCGAACAGAAGGGCACGGTGGCGATTTGGGGATTAGGGTTC